GCATTTGCATCCCCTCTTGGTAAGAGGGATTCGAAATAACTTTCTCTATATCTTCGCTAATTGAATTAATCCCCGTAATTTAGCTTACACCTATGAATTTAGGGAGCACTTAAAATGTGAAATAATCATTTCACTACCCGACAAACTCTGAACTTTATTTATTCATTAGGCCTAATAGTTTCATATTGCTGTACTATATATATACTCCAACATCACTGGCGCATGGTAACAACCAACTGACTGCAGACCATTTCCGGTCACACATTACTCTCCATAACACAGCACCCCCTAGTTCCGTCACCTCTGGGTATCAATGTAATGCTACATTATAATGCTCTTTCAAATGGTACTACTTATCTGCAAAGGAATTCCTTGCATTTGAAATTGTTTGTAAGTATCTGAGATTATCAGTGGACATTATAATAACCTCGATCTTTTAATTCTAAAGAGTTACCAACGAATTCGTGTTAAAATAGTTATTTCATACAATACAATTGCTATTGTTGGCTATCTGCAGGCTGCATCAATAATGTGATTATCAGACAGCCAAGCAAAGCTGCTTGTTGAACGAAGTCAAGGATTTATAATAAATCTAGGCCTCTGGGACTCCATTGCAAGATAACATGTATGAAACGGTAATAATGTCTAACTGTTATCATATAATCTTGGTCTAGGCCTAGTCCTATGTTTTACTTATTCACTGAATAATCACAGCATGAACGTTGATCACTCCAAAAATCCCAGGGTGCTGAAAGCAGCGAATACAAAACATTCACAAAAATTATGTGAACGTCTGTGCAAACTGTGTGGCGCAAGAAACAAAACAATGGCTTACTATTCTGAATACTTTAGTTTAACACCAATTACATGTATAAATATATACTATCTATGTTAGAAGTAATACAGTACCTAATGATGATGCTGCAGCACTCGAGAATTTCCACAACGGGCAAAGAGAGTTGATTAGGTTAGATCTGCAAAAAACGAAAGGTAGGCCTACCCAAACCAAACCTATCAGCACCGTACTGATGGATGGACATTCGATTGATGTTGTTTTGTTACTTCGCGTCAAATATACTGCCCTCTATAACCACTCCCTCTCTACTCATGGCGCTTTAAAAGGCCGTTGAACCCCTGTTGTCTCCCCTCCCCTTTTTGTTTCCCAGCACCAGTAACAAACATTTTACGAACGCTGCAATGTCATTTTTATTTATTATTATTATTATTATTATTATTATTATTATTATTATTATTATTATTATTATTATTATTATTATTATTATTATTATTATTATTATTAT